AATCACTGCGATTACAGAACGGGAAGGTAAAGGCACATTGAAAAAAGTGTTTCTGTTATTTTTTAAGTATGAATTTTATGTTGATGGACATGCGAAATCCAAAATAACAACCTCTTCTGTTAGAGGCATGTAGGTCAGACCCTATATCTGGCTCTAAGATGATACAATAGGTATTTGCAGGACTTAGTTTCCTCCATTCTCACGATTACAGTGTAGAATAATGTCTATAATTCGCGAATATAGTCTCTCAGTAGCGGAAAAGGACATCATGTGAGTCATGCTAGATTATTGTTGTATTCAATGAGGTTTTTTTATAATTCATTATTATCTTGTTATGATACCTTGTTTATCATCAATTGGACTTTTCTCTAAAAGTTACCTTCTTTTCACACGATTTGCTAACAAATTGCGAAGCTCAAGTCTCATAAATTAGGTCTCTCTTATTTGCAAGAACCTAAGTGCCACAAGCAAAAATGATAGAAAAAAATAGGTCATGACGAATCTGGCTTTATTGTTTATACACCTGTCAAATCTTTCCGACGCCACGCTCAACCTCGTTTTCAGGCACTTGGAAGTGATGCCATTATTTGTCAAAGAGATGTCGTAAGTCTAAGCTTCTTATCAAGATAATGGGCGTTCGCGGACTCTTTAGTTTCGTCGAACCAATCGAACAGCTTTGGGAAACGATCGAACTACGACGAGACACAAAGCTGGTCATAGATGGATCAGCTTTATTCATGTCTCTTTACGCAGACAACTGCCTCGATCGACGATGTGGAGGGCAATATAGGGAATTCTATGAAATAATAATCGATTTCTTTAACGCTCTAAAATCTGTGGGAGTAGAGTCATTCGTAGTCCTGGATGGCGCATACACCAGTGATAATAAATTGGACACCTACAAAAAGAGGTCAGAAAAGACAATACAGACAGCTGATATGCTCGCAGAAGGTCTAGCACAAGCAAATGAGGTCTTCGTCTGCCCACTGTTGTTGAAATTTGTATTTGGGCGAGCGCTCGAGGATCTTGGCGTGAAATTTTCTGTCTCTGACGGGTAAGTTGAAAATAAATATCAAAAAGGTATCATATAATCAGAGCTATTACACTTTGCACACGATAGGGACCTTAAGCAGACCAAGACGGCGACGGCAACGACGACGTGGCAAATTATTGTAATTTCCATTTGGAACACAGCGCTGCTACGATACGCTGAGGTTGAGGTTGAGGTGTGGCGCCGTAAGAGATAGTAAACACCTGCGCCCATTTTCGCAATGCTAATTAAAAGTAGAAATTCATATTTTAATCGACGTCTTCCTTGGTGTCGCCGTCCTGATTGCTTAAGGTCCCCATTAATTTTGAAGACACGTCATGAACAGACGTTATACAAGGCAACCATGAAAGTTGTTTATATTACTTGCTGAGGTTCACCTTATAAAACTTATAAAAAACAGCGTAGTTCAGGTAAGTTAAAATTACGAAAAGGAGAAAGTCAGATTTTATTCTGCCTCTCATTTTGGCCGTATAGATCACGACGACTCTTGAAGATACTCTATACCCTAAGAGATTGAAGTATAACTTTCGTTCATGCTATTTGAAATTTGCAATGAGTGAAAACAATTTTCTTTTCATATTCGCTTTTGTCTTCATTTACATCAATAGCACTAATATGAGTCGGAGAAAGAAAGGGCAGCAAGCTGTCCATATCCTTATTCGAAGGTAATTATTTTTGCTGTTGAACGGTCATTCGAAAGTGTGTGTGATGTTAAAAGGAGGCGACGCTATTTCTTCACGAAAAGCTGACGATAGTTGCTTATGATAATGACCATGTGGTTTAGTGAATAATTTCACAGCTGACGAGGCCGATATTTTAAAGTACAATTCAATCTTCTTGTCTTTTGTTAGTGAAGCGGATGCTGAAATTGCTTCTTTGGCCAATGCTTTCGAATGTCCTGTTCTAAGCAACGACAGCGACTTCTTCATCTTCGATGTTATAGGTGGTTTTATTCCACTCCGCTCTTTCAAGTGGCAGAGATGTCCTTCAAAAGCCCACATTTTCTATCGCAGAAAATTGGCACAGTATTTTGGAATTCACACAGAATTGCTTTCTCTATTTGCCTCTTTAGTGGGAAATGATTACGTAAACTCGGAATTACTACAGCCATTCCACCAGAGTCTGCTGGGAACTTCTAGAGGAAAAGAAAAAAAGTTCCGAAAGATCAGCGACCTTCTTTCACAAGCGCCCACATCAGAGGAAAATGCTAAAGAGTTTGTGCTTCGAAGTGTTCCTCGAAAGGATGAGTTAAGACGAGCTGTCGAGATTTCTCTCCAGGAATACACGATCACAGAGACGCCCTTGGTAGGATATTTTTTACGCAACGATGTCTCAAGCCTTCTGAAA